GGACCGTGTGAGTGTCCCCCTGTCCCCACCCTCAGCTGGGGGCTGACCACCTGCTCCTAGACAGCCATGAGGCAGGCAGGGCCACTGGCCCTGGGATGCAAGCTCAGCCCAGACTCCCTCACCAGCACTTCTCTCTGCTTCTCTCCAGACACAAGAGGAAGCTCAAAGCCATTGTGGCTGGTTCAGCAGGTGGGTGAAGGCCATGGGGAAAGACAAGGGGTTCATGGCGGCTCAGCTTGACTGGGCCCAGGCTCCTCTGCCAGCTGAGCCCCTTCCCTCCACACTCTGACTCTTCTCCCTACAGGGAATCGTGGCTTCATCGACATCATGGACATGCCTAACACCAACAAGTACTCCTTTGATGGGTGAGTGGGGTCTCAGAGTCTGACTCAGCCTGGAAGAAGGACAAAAGTGCTGAGGTGTCTCACGCCTATAATCCTAGCACTGTGGGAGGCCGAGGCAGGTGGATAGCTTTAGCTCACAGGTTTGAGACCAGCCTGAGCAAGAGCAAGACCCCATCTCTACTAAACATAGAAAAACTGAGACAAGAGGAGCCCAAGAGTTGGAGGTTGCTGTGAGCTATGACACCACAGCTCTCAACCCAGGGCAAGAGCGTGAGACTCTATCTCAAAATAAATAAATAAATAAATAAACACAAAAGCACTGAGGGAGCACAGACTGGCTGACACCTGGGGCGTGGGCGCCCCCTGGTGGGTTAACCACTCTTCTCTCCCTACGCTCCAAAACTGGGTTGCTGAGCTGAGGTCCCCAATCCTGATCAGCCCCAAGTTCTAGGAGGTGTACATAGACTTTGGGCACCCAGAGCAGGATGAGGCCTCTGTACCAAAGTTGATCCCGACTGACATGCGGCCCTGGTTCTAGTGGGATTGGGATCCTAGGATGGGAACACTCACCCACAGATGCCAAGGGGTCTCCTTCCCACGGCCCTGCACCCCCAATATTATGGAAGGCACTACAGGTGGCCAGGGTAGTGGACAGGAGTGAGGGGTAAGGCTGGGAGGGCATCTGCTACTCGCACCTTCCCTCCCTGCCCCACTCCACTCTGCTCCCCAACGGCAGAGCCAACCCCGTGTGGCTGGATCCCTTCTGTCGGAACCTGGAGCTGGCTGCCCAGGCTGAGCATGAGGACGACCTGCCAGAGAACCTGAGTGAGATCGCAGACCTGTGGAACAGCCCCACCCGCACCCATGTGAGCTCAGGCCAGGGCGGGAGCAGGGGGTGGGCATGTATAGGCCCTTGTGAGGGACAAGGATTCCCCCACCAACCTGCTCCTGTGTGTGGTATGTACCTCTTGCCTCCTCTCCCCAGGGAACTTTTGGGCGTGAGCCAGCTGCAGTCAAGCCTGATGATGACCGATACCTGAGAGCAGCCATCCAGGAGTATGACAACATTGCTAAGCTGGGCCAGATCATTCGGGAGGGGCCCATCAAGGTGAGCCCTCCTGCAGGCTCCTGTACCCAGCCAGACCTCTGGCTGCACATGGACCCCACTACAGAGGATACAGGGAGGTGGACACCCCCAGGCTCAACTAGACCTTACCCTCTGCTGGGTGAGAACACCACAGCCAAAAGAGAGGCTGGGGCTCTGGGGCTGCTAGGGAGCTACTCAGCCTATAGTGGCCTCAAGCATGAGACCATGTGGGTTCTGGTTGGCCACTGTCACCAGGCTCTATTTCTGACCCTCTGCCCTAGGATCCCAGGCCTGTGCATCCCTGACTCCCTCGGGGAGCAAGCAAAGGGTGGGACAGGCTGGAGAGGACCTCGGTGGGGGGTTAACCCTCTCCCTCTCCCAGGGCTCGCTGCTGAAGGTGGTCCTGGAGGATTACCTGCAGCTCAAAAAGCTCTTTGCACAGCGGATGGTGCAAAAAGCCTCCTCCTGCCATTCCTCCATCTCCGAGGTAGCCGGCAAGTGGCCGGGAGCTGTGTGCTGTGTGCCGTGCCCCAGCCCTGGGGGTGTGCGTGCTGTGCACTGTCTCTCCCTTCTCAGCATCTCTGGAGTTCAGCAGCCAGGCCAAAGACAGCAATGGGTGGGGATCCAGGAAGTCAGCGGCCTCTGCTTTCTGGAATCTGTGGGAACCTTCCACAGGGATAGGATGGGCTCTGAGGCAGTGTTTCTCAGATTCAAGGAGCCTCATGAAGATACTTTTAAGGGGTGATGTCACTTTAACAAACTTGTTGTCAGGGTCACATAGGCCTACATATGTGTGCCTGTAGTGATTATGTCAATACTTTAAAACTTTTAGACTTTACTAGACTTTATCTAAAAACTGATTTCTAGCTAGGCCTGCATTCCCAAAATACAATAGAAATGCCCCACACAAGCGTGCCATTTCTGAGTCTCTACCACACTCTGTGTCCCTTCAAACTTGTTCTGTAGACAACTTTCTACCTGGACACAGAATTGATTCTGCTTGAGACCGCCTTGGTAATAACCCCAGATACCATGGCTGTGTCACCTGATTTTCATAGAGCATTAAAGTGAACATAGAAAATTAAAGATTTCATGGCTCCGCGCCTGTAGCTCAAGAGGCTAAGGCGCCAGCCACATACACCAGAGCTGGCAGGTTCAAATCCAGCCTGGGCCTGCCAAACAATGACAATTACAACCAAGTAATAGCCAGGCATTGTGGCAGATGCCTGTAGTCCTAGCTACTTGGGAGGCTGATGTAAGAGAATCGCTTAAGCCCAGGGGTTGGAGGTTGCTGTGAGCTGATGCCACAGCACTCTACCCAGAGCAACAGCTCAAGGCTCTGTCTCGAAAAAAGAAAGAAAATTAAAGATTCCACAGGAAGCCCATGCACCTGAGGCGGCCATCCATGGTTTCCCTTTGCACCCAATTTGAGAAACACTGTCAGAGGCTGACAAACCTGCTGAGGCAGAAGCCCAGGAGTCCCTGTGGGAGGAAGGGAGGGCACAGAGCAGATGGCGGGGGCTATCCACCTGCTCACTCCTTGGGCTTGGCTCTGAGCTTGTAGGTATCCCCACCTCTTGCAGCTGATCCAGACTGAGCTGGACGAGGAGCCCGGGGACCGCAGCCCAGGCCAGGGCAGCCTGCGCTTCCGCCACAAGCCGCCGGTGGAACTCAAGGGCCCGGATGGGATTCATGTCATGCATGGCAGCACAGGCACGCTGCTGGCCACTGATCTCAACAGCCTGCCTGAGGATGACCAGAAGGCCCTGGGCCGCTCGCTGGAGACACTGACCGCTGCCGAGGCCACTGCCTTCGAGCGCAATGCCCGCACAGAGTCCGCCAAATCCACGCCCCTGCACAAGCTTCGTGATGTGATCATGGAGAGCCCCCTAGAGATCACGGAGCTGTGACTAAACAGGGAGACCTCCCTGGTGTGAGCAGCACACATCCTGCCACCTTGGGCAGGAGCAAGAGCACGGGGGGTGATCTTGGGTTGGCCCTGGTAAACACCCCCAGCCCACTTGGGCAGCTCGGACAGATTCCACTTTTGCCAGACGCTCATTCAGCACCTGATCTACCTTCATAAAATCTGTTATTTTTTTAAGAAAACGAAACAAAAATGCTAGGCGTCTAAGGACAAGGTAAGGAGGGTCACTGGGGGCTCAGGAGTCTGAGCACCAATTTGGCTCAGGCTAAGCTGGAAGAAGCTGAACAGGCCCTCTTCCCCTCCCCCCTCCATCCAAGTACCACCTGCCCCCCTCCCCAGTGAGAGCCAGGCACCTAGGGGAAGGAGGGCAAGATCTGTTGACCCCTGCTGGCCCAACACGTTGACTCCAAGTCCTGCTGCATTTCTGCCCCATTCCTGTCAGATGTCCAGATGGAGGCAGTGAGTGATACTTCCCTCCCCACCCCCACAAGGTCAATGTCAATGAACAAGCATTCTCTCTCCATTTCACTGGCTTCCTAAACGTGCCCAGCTTATAAAGAGAAATGACTGCTGTTCCCTTGGGTTTTGAATGTAGAGTATTTGTGTGTGTTACTTTTCTTAAAGTTATTCCTTCAATATTTTCCCCCTGGATTTGTTTAACTGGTACTCACTGAAAGTTTCTGGAATGGTGTGTTTAAAAAGAAAAGCAAGACACAAGGAATCAGCAATATACTCTGGCTCTCATAAACTACCTGTGTGGCTGGCCTGTGGGGTGAGGGGCTGGAGGGGGTGACAGGCAGGGCCCGACCTTCAGGTGCTCTCCTACCCTATTGCTGGCCTGCCCTCTCAGGGAGGACTTTTTCCCTTACTACTTTGCTTTCTTTCTCAGCCCAATGAGTCACAGGGCTGCTAGGTACTGAGGGGACCGTGGGCTCAGAGCTAATTGAAGACTGAACTCTTCTGGCTGAATGTCAGAAACAAACACTGATCTGGTTAACAGAACTTTATTGTAAGTCACAGAAACTTTAGTGCAAAACAAACAAAAATCATCAAGTCCATTTAATAGCAACTGCATGTCTCGCTGGCTTTGCTTGCTGTTTCCCGGCAACCAGAAGTAGAACCAAAGCTTCAGTGGCCAAACATGCAGCAGCCCTGACCCCAGACAGTATCCACTCCCACACCCACAGACCCCTCACCCTGTCACCCTCTACTAGGAAGCCAGAGGCTTAGGAGCTTATCATCCACATTTATTTGAAATGAAAGGCCCAAAGAGCATCTACGAGATGGGGGTAGAGATGCAGAGCTGAAGCAGGGCCTCAGCAGCTGGGTGGACATGAGCAGGCACAAGGCAGTCACCAATGTTCACACACTCACACATAAGCCAGGCTCACTGGAGCCCCCTAGAGAGCTAGCAGGTTACATTCAGGCGGACGTCCTCCTTCCCACCCAAACTCACAGAACCAAAACCATCACCAGGAAAGACACAGGAAAGTTGAGTCTAAGGTTGACCCAAGAACATCAAAAACTCTCTGCCTCACTAACATCCCCTGAGCCACCAACGGCTGCTTTGAAAGTCTCTGTGCTATTACAATGAGAATTACATTATTCAAAAAGCCTGATTCTGAGCTTCTAACTCTTTCATATAAAAATGCCTTTGTTTTGCTGCTTTGTAAAGCAGCCTACAGGCCCACGAGGGGCAGAAAGTCTTTCTTTTAGAGTAGGAGGCAGCCTGAGAAACCCAAGCCCACTAGTGCCCAAGTACCTGTCAGGGCTCAGAACAAGACTCCTGTCAAGAAGCGTGGCTCATGCCAGCTCCAGAGCCCCTTTTCCTCCTCTAGGAGGTGCCAAGCAAGGGCAGGCTAGAAGACCTCCAGTGCACATTACATCATCATCATCATCGAGTAGAAATAAAGGACACCAAAGCAGCGACACTGTCAGCAGGGGCTAGCACCTCTCACACAGACAACAATGCAACAAAGGGGGGTATAAAAGGAGGCGGCAGGGTGCTGCAGGGGCGGGTCCTAGTTTCATAACAAAGTCAAATAGATCTGTGTGTTCCCTCTTCGACACACAAGTAGGAAAAGATGCTGCAGTTTCTGCAAGATGAGATACTCCTTCTAGTTCCACACATGACGTTTGCAATGCTCAACAGCCTGGCAGGAGAGAGGAAACTGGGTTTAGGCTTCTGATAAACTCCATTTGTGGCCCATTAGTGTATCATCCAAAAAAACAGGACCCACTATCTGTCTTAAGTTTGCTGGACAGCACCAGACACTGAAGACCCAGAATAGTATTGCATTTAAAACCAGGAAGGCTGTGGCCAGAATTCCAGAGTCCAGAGCAGCAGATAGATGCAAAGGCTGGTTGTGTCTCGCAGGTGAGCACACACATAAGCATGGCTCAGGGCCCTTCCTCTACTTACACTGGCGTCCAGTGTCCTGCTGGTAGACTGCACAGAGATCCCAAAGTGGAACCTCTTCACCCGATGGCTAGGATGCATGCCTACAGCTTAGGCCTTTGAGAAATGGATCCATGGGCACATTTACCCAGGACAGTGGCAAAACCAGTTCCACCACTGACTGCTATGGGGGGATGGGGGGCGTAATGGTGCAGATGGACTTCAGCCAAGACTTGAGGAAGAAACTGGCCAGGGTGTGAGGCTCTCTATCCCTCCCTACAGTGCCCCAAAATGACACAATATCCCCTAACATGGTGACACAAGGAACCCCAGTGAGGAAGAAAAAATTGCGCAAAGAAAAACGGGCCGGACCAAACAGTCCTACCCAGAAAAACAGCACGGTCATCCAACTGGTCACTGCCCAGGCAGTGCCACGGCACCTCAGGGCTGCTGGACAGCAGCCAACTCTCGGGGCTATTCCAGAAGAGTTCTGTTTGGCCTTGAGTGAAGAGTCAGGCCAGGCTCTAGCCAGGGCAAGCATGGCCCCCCAACGGGGGAAAGGACAAGGATCTGGGCATTAAGTTCCACAGACCTTGTGCAATCTCTAGAGTGACCCTGTGCAAATCTGACACTGTCACAAGGGAACTAAAGACAAAAGCAAGAAAGCAGAAGCAAAAAAATACTAAAAAATACCAATCCCACCCTCCACTCCCTAAACACAATCATGCAGTTAGCCCTGCCTTTGTAGGGAGGCCTAAGTAAGCCTCACCTGACTCTCTGAGCCTCAGTTTTCACCTGCATAAAAACAGGGTAGAGAGCTAATTAAGGAGCTTCCTGTTAAAGCAGGATCCTCAGAGCTGCCCTACTGACGAGGCTCCTGGAGCCACTTGCTGAGCTACTCACATTGCACTGGGCCGCTGTCTCCGCATTCTGGCACCAGTAGCTTGGGCCCCAGACACACTTTTCAGTTCCCAAAAGGGGCTTCCTGGCTGAGGGGCAGGCTCCAATTTTCTATATGGTAAGAAAAAGATAAAAGAAAGGGGAGAATTAGAACTGCCCAACTAATCTCTTTCAACACTGAAACAAGAGCTTCCAGAAGCAGCTAGAATCTGAACTCTTTCAGAAGAACACCAGGTTGCTAAGTAAAAACAGTGCTTCTAGGTCTGGCTCCCAGCCTCTTGGCCCTCCACACTCCACCCCAGAAACAATGCCCCATGGCCAAAAGTCTCAGAGCAACCCTTCCAGGTCTACACAGCCCCGCCCAGGTTACAGCTGCCCAAGGGGACTCCGCCCAGTGAAGCTTACCAAGCACACAAAGGAAGGGTCCATCACCTCCACCAGGACCTCTATCAGAACAGGTTCGTACTCAGTCACAAACTGGTCACACTGTAAAGTGAAGGGGGATACAGGTCCAGGCCTGGGTGCATCCAAGCAGAGTGGGAGCACAAAAGGCTGAGACAGGCCCTGGATACACTCTTCTTTGAGAGACCCTGACGTTCCCAGGTCACTGAGCCCTAGGGCCTCCCTTCCCAGATACCCACCCACATTTGGCCTAAGCTCAGGTTATCTCTCCTCAGTGACTCCATTTGGCCCAACAAATCACATCTAACAAAACCTCACCTGACTCCGTGCCTAGAGGCAAAAACAGCTAGTTTCCCTCCCTCAAGACTTTACTCCAGAGGTGCTATCAGTGAGTTCCCCCCACCCCTGCAAGCTCCAAACAGGTTGACACTCTGGCCTAAAGCAGCCCAGGGTGTACCTGCTTCACGTAAGGGTCAGGCAGGAAGCTGCAGCCTTTCTCGAGAGCAGCCAGGATCTCTTGCTTGGTGCTGTTTTTCTCCAGATTTTTATCCAAATAGTTAACCAGCTTCTTGCACACTTCACAGAAGCCACCATCCTTCACTTGAGTCACATGTGCTACACAGGAAGGCACAGGACTCAATTCCGGCAGGGTTCCCTTACCCCACGCCCCCCACTGACCAAAGAGGGACACTGTCCTCCCCACCAGCACCACGCCCTGGGCTCACCAGTCAGTGCAGGCACCCCTGTGCTAGAGCAGAGGTGGAGCATGCTGCACACCAGCTCGGGGCCAGTGTCCTGGAGAATGGACAGGATGGAGCTGCCATATGTGTCCACCACCTCCTGGCATTCTGCTGACCAGGACATAGGCAACTTGGAGCACACCTTATCCAATGCATGGATTATTTCTTCCTGAAACATGATGAGAGGACCAGGTGAGAAGATGGGAGGAAATACAAACAAGACTAGGGAATTGGCTCGGCGCCTATAGCTCAACCGGCTAAGGCGCCAGCCATGTACACCTAAGGTGGCGGGTTCGAATCTCCAGCCAGGACCCGCCAAAACAACAATGACGGCTGCAACCAGAAAATAGCCGGGCGTTGTGGCGGGCGCCTGTGGTCCCAGCTACTTGGGAGGCTGAGGCAGGAGACTCGCTTGAGCCCAGGAGTTGGAGGTTGCTGTGAGCTGTAATGCCACGGCACTCTACCCAGGGGGACAGCTTGAGGCTCTGTCTCAAAAAAAAAAAAAAAAAAAAAAAGACTAGGGAATTGGGGGCAGTGCCTGTGGCTCAGTGGGTAGGGCGCCAGCTCCATATACCAAGGGTGGTGGGTTCAAACCCAGCCCTGGCCAAACTGCAATTAAAAAAATAGCCTGGCATTGTGGCAGGTGCCTGTAGTCCCAGCTACTGGGGAGACTGAGGCAAGAGAATTGCCTAAGCCCAGGAATTAGAAATAGTTGTGAGCTGTGATGCCACAGCACTCTACCAAGGGTGATAAAGTGAGACTCTGTCTCTAAAAAAAAAAAGACTAGGGAATGAGCCAACAGTGGGATGCTACTTCCTCCCTCAAGAGGTTGAGAGTCACAAAGCAGGGCAAGGTGGCCTCCCCACCTCCTGCCTGGAGGGATCCCCGATGGGAACTACATTCTACAGGATGGGCTATACATGTTCCCAGGTTCATGTCAAACACCAGCAGAAGTCAAGCTCCCTGTTCCACTGGACTCTCCCACTGGGACATTCTGGCTCAGCAGGGTAGGAGAACCTTCCTCTGCAAAGGGGCAGCATACCTCCGTCTTGTTGTTGTCAATCAGCTTGACCACCTCCTTTATCACATATTCACACACCTCACAGTACACATTAACCTTCACCTGGACCAGGTCTTCCTGTTGAAAAGGGCAGAAGAGGGGTACTTTAATGCTGGGACTTGCACACCTTGATCTTGCTCCCCTAAAGAAGAAAGGATGCAGAGTCTGGGGTGGGTTAGCATCATCCCATGGGGCCACTCAGTGCCTACTCAATGTGATGTATGGTTTCCTTCCAATATCCAAGTTCAGTTCCCTATTGTTTTTTATACATCCCTTTCCCCAGTCCTCCACCATCACCACCTTCTCTAACTGCCACCAAAAACAAAATTCATACTTCAGGACACGGGTATCTAAACATTTTCAATTACAATCATTTCATCATGCTGTGTTCATTTTAGGGAGGTGGATGGAGGAGCAGAAACAGAATGAAGGATTCATTATCTGTCCACTATTTTTTTTTTCTTTTTTTTGGCTGGGGCCAAGTTTGAACCCACCATCTCTGGTATATGGGGCTGGCGCCCTACTCCTTTGAGCCACAGGCACTGCCCTATTTTTTTTTTTCTTTCTTTTTTTAAATTTTTTTTATTATTTTTATTTTTTAGAGACAGAGTTTTACTTCACCCTCAGTAAAGTGCCGTGGCATCACAGCTTACAGCAACCTCCAGTTCTTGGGCTTAGGCGATTCTCCTGCCTCAGCCTTCCAAGTAACTGGGACTACAGGCACCCGCCACAACACCTGGCTATTTTTTGTTGCAAAAAATAAGGCAGGTTCAAACCTACCATCCTCAGTAGATGGGGCTGATGCCCCATCCACTGAGCCACAGGTACTGCCCTTTTTATTTTTTCTTTTATCATTTTTTCATATGAGTCAATTTTGATTCAGTCTTCCCACTATTTAGAAGAGTTTTAAGCACGTTTGGAACTGTTTGAGTTTCCCAAGACTAGCACCTGAAACCACTTTTCTAGAACCTACCTTAATAAAGCAATACTATTAAAGAGACCCTTCTGTGAAAGTGGAAACATTCTGTCTCTGCTGTCCAACACAGCAGACACTGCCCACGTGTCTAATGAACACATGATATGTAGTTGGTAGAACCAAGGAATTGAATTTTTAATTTTCTTTCATTTTCTTTAATTTAAGCAGCCAAATGTGGTTAGAGTACAAGCTGTAATTCTTCATTTTCACTGGACATTACTTTATAGCAGCGCAGGCTGGGGCCTAGGGGTACCCTATGGAAAGAGAGGCAGGAGAAAGTGCCTCCTAGACTCCAGGACACTTCAGCCATCCCTGTGGCCACACACTCTGCATATGCAAAGACAGCAGTTGGAAGTAAAGTGTCATGCGTGTGCCCCGTGTTAAGATATCATACTGCCTGAGCCCTGAAAAACTAAAACGCAAGCCCATGAGTACAAGGACATCATTTGTTCATCACAGCCCCTAACACGCTGCCCAACCCATAAGTGCTGACACAAATCTACTATGGAATGAATAGAGGGATCTTCACCAAGTGAGGGGTTCTAAGGAAATAAAATACATACATACAGGTATAACAGGCCCAGTGAGGCTTCCACATGAGCTCTGGAAGAGAATTCTGGAAATTTCGTGTTTGTACTATGACCATAGTGTGCGAAAGGACCCCAAAAGTACATGTGAGACAGAGTGAAGGCAGGCACTGAAAAATCACTTCAACAGCACGCTGGGGAAAATGTAGACTAGGATCTATAACGGAGGAAATAAAATATTTTTAAAAAAATTGTGAATGGGGGTATACATTAGTATAGGGAATGCCATAAAATAACGGTCTCAAACTCAAAGATCTTTAGGAGCCAGGCAGGGACCTAAAATAAGAAAGAGTATGACTTGTAGGATGTGACATAACAGGGAATGGTGTGGCACTGTGCAGCCTGTCTGGCACACAATGACACTAGGTACCTTAACAGGCTCCACCAGTTCCAGAGCAGGGATGACGTTCTCGGCCACTTTGGCAGGAATCAGAGCCTGCATGGGTATTTTCTTCACCTCCTCACAGAATCCAACCAGCCTACAAATCTCCTGGGGTTGCTGAGGAGAACACAGAACAACCAGTCAGAAAGAGACCTGCACCCACCACCCTCTCTATCCCACACTCTAAACAGAGGCTGGGGTGCTAGGGAATACCCTGCTCCCAGTGTCAAGGCTGACTCCCTCCCAGATGGGTAGATTCCAGATTCAATCTGATAGGACTTATGAGCAGAGCACATGTTCCAGTTACATCTGGGGAGGAGGCCGTGCAAAGCTCTGAAGGGACGGCAGGCAGAGCCACTGTGAGGAGAGGAGACCCCCAGCACCTTCAGCACCTGCAAGGACAGCTGGTCTGCTGCTCTAGAAGATTCTTCTCAGCTCCCTCTCAGGAGGAAGGAAGCTATGTTCTTTCTAGAGGGGGAACTACTGGCCCATAAACAGAAAATCAAATGTTTTTGAAATAAAACCATACCAGATCTTTCAGTGGCAGGACCATTTAAATTGTATTCAGGGGAAATGCTGGCTTTTTTAAAAACCACATTCTATGTTCACAAATGTACAGAGTACACATGAAAGCCCAACCCCAACTGACGAACCATTTCAAGTCACAAGGTCTCCAGATTGATCCCCTTTCACCAGTTAAACACCAAACCACAGAGAATTTGTTAGTGTGGACATCTAGACTACTATATGATGGCCAAGAGCAAGACAAGTATACAAACTCTGTATACTGTGTACATCAGATGTAACAAGCAACTACCTCTGGATGTGATGGCATTTGCTTCCCACCACTAAACCCTAAAGGAGTGGAACAGGACTGTTAAAAACGAGACCTGTTAAGGACAGAGAGCTAGATGGGGACTGTGTTTTAATGTCGAGAGGCTCTAAAATTAAAATAAGGTTAAGAGGGTCTGAGAAGTATATGCCCAAATACCTTGTCTTTGGCACATTTTAAGGATGGGGGAAAAAATCAGGATGAGGCTGAATATACAATAAGCTCTTTAGGAAAAAGATGCCAAGATTCAGGAAGTGTATGGCTGATTTCAGAATCAGCTTTGTTCTAACTTCTTGAGAAGGTCTAGGTGAAAATTCAGTCATTTTTCAACCAAAGTCCTCTTCCATTAGACCTCAAAATACCTTCAAAAAAATCTCTAACTCCAATCCTATAGGTATGATATTGAGCAATGTTCAGAATGGCCCTCAGAGGGCACTAGTTCAGAGCAAGTATAGACTGGAGACTCGGTTCCTATAGCACACCATCTGACGTGGCTCCGGATCCCAAAGGACCCTGTCACCCAGAGGGGCAGAAGCCACAATCAAGAGATTGTTTCTGGATCCAAAAGCCAGGGATCAGTCAGTCTGCCAACTGTTTGCAAAGAATTTGCTCATGCAGCGGAAGCACTTCTGGGGTTATAAAGAGACATGCAATGCCCATTTACACAGTGACAGACACGTGGCGTCCTACTGGAAGTCAGGCTTACCACTGGCCTGCGTGATTAGCTTATTCTGAAGGAAGCTGCGGCACCTCTGGGGCCACTCAGTTTTCCCATCATTACCCTGTGGCCTACCAACAGGCATGCTATGTGTTGATTCTGATCAGAGCACAAGGCTTTGTGAGCTTGGTTTTGTAGCCCCCTGAAGAGGAAATGAGACTCTCCAATACCTCAAGTGGTGATTTATAGGGGGGAGATGCAGAGAAGCTCTCCCGAGCCTATCAACAGAGAGTGAACCGGCCTTTTGCAACCATTCCTGGTATATGCCAGAGCTAATCACGCCATACCAAAATATAGTAGTAATAAGCGAAGTTAAGTAGAAAAGCAGCAGACCACTAATACAATCAAATTCCAACACATACCTGATCCTGCTGTTGAACAAAAAACAGGAAATCGGAGATGAAAATAAAGAGAAAGGAAAGGACACAACAGTTAAGAAAAATTAAAACAACAATAATCAAGCAGTTAACCAGGTGTAAGGATGTCACAGGAAATTTAGGGCACTGGCTCTTGCAGTCAGGTATTAGCAACCTACCTTGTTCCGGTTATGAGGTGAATAAGGGGGACCTAAAAACTACTCTGGCCCTCCAGGGATGGACCACTTGAGGGCAACTGCCGTCCCCATATCCAACACACTAAATCATGCTCAAAACAATGTATAGCAAGGTCCCCCCAAAATTCTCCTGTATTGTCTCCATCCTGAGTGGCCGAATTCCCCCAGATCTGCAAGGCCCTCCCTGCAGGTTAGCGAGGAACAGCTCACAAAACATGGGGCTGCCCCAAAAAGGTGTGTGTGTTGTTATAAAACACACCCCGAGAGGTAAAGGATCAGACATTGAGTCTTCACAGCCTCAGCCTCATAGCAATCTACCTCAGGTGGCCAACGCCAGTCTGGAAGGCCAATTTGACAATTTATCAAAAGTCTTGAGCTTTGTTTGAGCAATCACAGCTTTAGTTATCTATACTAAGGAGAAAGACAGGAATGTGGGTAAATGCATACATATTTGGCTATAAGGATATTCAACTCAAAGGCAAACCTGAAACAACAGCCAGTCCGCCACAGGGGACTGGCTCCATAAATTATAACCTAAGATTATACAGCTACTTAAAACTCATTTCTACAGGAATAATTATCGATACATTTTCAGGCAAAAAAAAATGCATACCGCAAAGTAGTACCTAAAATGACCCCAGTGCTTTGTGTTATTTGAGACAAAGCTATACTCCATTGCCCTGGGTAGAGTGCCATGGTGTCATTGTAGCTCACTGCAACCTCAAACTCCTGGGCTCAAGAGATCCTCTTGCCTCGGTTTTTCTATTTTTAGTAAAGATGGGGTCTTGCTCTTGCTCAGGCTGGTCTCAAACTACTGACCTCAAGCAATCCACTCACCCTTGGCCTCCCAGAATGCTAGGATTACAGGCGTTGAACCACTACGCCCAGCCAACCCCATTATTTTTTGAAACCCCAAATGATTTGACATGGGAAGTATTATCCATATTTTCAAAATATTTCCATGCAATGTAACTTTTTTTTTTTTGAGACAGAGTCTCACTATGTCGCCCTTGGTAGAGTGCCATGGCTCACAACTCACAGCAACCTTAAACTCTTGGGTGTAAGCGATTCTCTTGCCTCAGCCTCCCAAGTAGCTGGGACTACAGGCGCCCACCACAATGCCCAGTTATTTTGTTGTTGCAGTGGTCATTGTTGCTTAGCTGGCCCGGGCTGGATTAGAACCCGCCAGCGTGGGTTTATGTAGCCAGCACCCTACTCACTGAGCTACGGACACCACCCGATATAACTTTTATATGAAAAAAATATGTAGGCTCGGCGCCTATAGCTCAACCGGCTAAGGCGCCAGCCACGTACACCTAAGGTGGCGGGTTTGAATCCCCAGCCCGGACCCGCCAAACAACAATGACGGCTGCAACCAAAAAATAGCCGGGCATTGTGGCGGGCGCCTGTGGTCCCAGCTACTTGGGAGGCGGAGGCAGGAGACTCGCTTGAGCCCAGGAGTTGGAGGTTGCTGTGAGCTGTAATGCCATGGCACTCTACCCAGGGGGCCGGTTTGGGGTTTTTTTTCAAAAAAAAAAAAAAAATATGTAAGTTAACTACAAGGAAGCACTTCACTAGGTCGAGTCACATCACAGGCTTATTTTTACCTATTTCAGTTGCCATTTCTTTGCAAGCTGTCTTTGCAAACTGTTTTTAGAACAAGGTAAGATGTAAATAATCCCAAATAACCTGCTGTGCCTGGACAGTTTATTTGAGTGGTTAGAGCAGGGACAGAAGGCAAATCTTTGGCTGCAACTTGTTAACTACACACAAAATGGGCAGCAGCACTGTGTTCAAAAACACTTAATATTTATAAAACAGGTGGCAGGCCATAGTTTGCTGACCCCTGGATTGGAGCCTATGTTTCAATTTCAAGGGATTCAGAAACTCAGAAAGACATACAGGGAAGGTGGAATCTACCCCTCTCAGCCCCACTATTAGATCTAGGGACGCCCATGCCTGCTCCCAACTTAAGGGCGGCTTCAAGTAACCCTGCTCTATACAGCAGCTGTCTGCATGGAGCTAGTTAGGTCATTACCCACAAGGGATGTCCTCACCTATAATGAAGGAACACCCCCCCTATCACCTGGATCCATCAAAAGCCAGTGCAGGAGTTAGGGGCTCCAGCAGCCAGCTATAGCGGACACTGCTACAGTGCACAGAACCAGCTCTGGGAAGCGATATTCCTCCCCTGAGGCTGCAGCACAGCATCTCTGCAAGTCTGGCTTACTATTTCACACTATTTCTACAGCTCCCAGGGTTAAAGCCAGATCTAGCAATCTGACATGCTCACATAGAAAGGAAGTCCTGGGGGCAGTCCTGGGGATCAAGGTGCTTCACCCTTTCCCCCTGGCCAGGAGGAAGTACTAAGATCACAAATGGAGAGTCTGCTACCCAGAGGGATTCACTTTGGCCCACTCCAGTACCATATAACTGAAAAGGAAAACTAAACCACAGTTTTCAATATGCCTGGAAATGACAAAATTTGCACAAAGAAAAATGCTAACAGGAGGTTTCTTCTGCCACCTACCATATGCATCATCATTTGGACAGCAATTTGAGAATACTGGGTGATATAATTCTTGCACTGGGAAGAGAAAAACAAATTGTTAAATTAATTACTGCAGCAATGCATGGTGGGGCCAAAACCACCATTTCCAACAGCATCAAAACCATGACTATCAAGCAAATTTCCAGAGTAGAATTCTGGAGATGTCAGAATTGCTGTGTAAGTTTTAATAAGATAAAAGTGACAATTTGATTAATTCTATAATTTATGAGAAATGTGGATAAAAGATATTTTGAAAATATTTACTAAGGGGCCTTTAATAAGGGGCCTTACAATTCCATCCTCCTATATATTTTATGGCCCAAATTTGTCCCAAGGTCATACAGCAATTACTCAGTGGCAATTTGGTAAGAATATAGCTAAAAAACAATACTGCTTAGGAATTGGAGACTACTGGTCAAATTATTTACACATTCTCAGACAGGATTATAAAGTTTAAATCCAGTAGAGTCGAGTTAACACTAATTTTTGACTGTGTATTTTCACAAATCTAGGTATTTCCAGTACACCCTCATAGAATGGTCATAATTGGTATGCTTTTACCATGAGAAAAATACAGATAATCTACAGCCCTAAGAGAGGGCTTAGTTGGGAAACCAACAAAAACAGCAATATGCAAAGACAATAAAAATGAACTAAAAGATTCCCAGGCTTGCAAAATAAATGAACGTTAACCTGATGGGCATTCCTAGAGGGCAAGTCATCAGGGAGAATTTTTTGAAACTCACAATAGTTCATTCTGAAAAGGCTGCTCTGTATTTCAGAGCACAGAGTTATCATAATTGGCTTCCAAATCCTGAGCCAGTGGGTTTTTTCAAGTTGTCAGGTACTAAAATCAGCATTTTGGTTTTCCACATCCACCTCACAAGTGTGGCTATTAAGTGCTGGAGGCAAAACCATCTGAGGGGCCAAGAAAATGAGTTTTAGTTCACAGGACTAGGGGAGGCTTCCAGGTGCATGTCCCACAAGCCAGTGTACATGCTTCCGTGGCTGCTGACCACACTTGCTGTGGGAGCACCCTTGGACTTGTGAGCCTCACATGCTACAGCCGTGCCTTCAAAACAGGGTTATGAGGTTCTCCAGTATCTCTAACACATATAATGACTGGGAGAAAAAAGAAAAAACTTTCACAAAAGTGGCCTCCTTCCACTCTTTTGTCCCAGTTTTGTTATATATCCAGATTCAATTAATTAAAGTGTATGTAAGTCCCCACTACCTATTCCAGTTGCCTTCTGGGGAAAAAAAGGAGTGTTAGTTGAACAACCTCTTCCTTGCAGCCATTAGCCTGGAACCTAAAATGGTACCACGGCAAGTAACAGGTTATGTTTTCTTGGTTCCCCCACTCCTGTCTCCAGAGCCAGCCCTGACTCAGAACAGCCTCCGACACACTAGGAGATAAGGCTCACCATGTCAGACATGCCAGGCCCCAGGCGGTCACACTCCTCCTTGACATGCTCCACCAAGGCCTCTACAAAGGTGGAATTGGTCCTTACAGCATTCTGAATGTCAGTCACCATCTGAATGCAGTCCTGGCAAACGTTCCCATCATCCTGCAGAGAAGGGGCATTTAGGCTGGCAACACTGCAACCAAGATGATTCAGATTCCTAGAAATGTCCTCAAGGCTCATGGCCACAGCACAAGGGGACTTGCTATATATATAGTTCCTAATGTGCTTTTTAAAGGCTCTAAAATTATTGACAGGCTTAAAATCAACTGAGTGTTTATCACAGTAATAGTACTATATAAAAGAGAAAAATCATTGCATTTTAAAATATTGCATTATTTACAAGTTCTATGGTACAACCATTTGAAGGCTGACTCATTTAACTGGTAAGTCAAACAAAAGGATAGTTCTCCATTTAAGAAACAGGCACATACACAATCCCTTTCATAGCTCACTTCCAATGCAACCAAAAATTGGGCCCTCAAAGGTGGGGCCTGCTGCCTTACCTTTGGCTGGGGCTTGCTGTTGGGGCCATCCTGAGGGTAGAGCAGGAGAGGGATGTTGGCCATGAAGGGAGCCACCACCTCAGTCATGTCCAGTTCTGGGATCTTATTAGACTCGAGTTGCTTCTTGTGATTCAGCTCTGCCAAGTGCTTCTGAAGAGACTCACAGAGGTTGAGAGCAGAACACACCTCCCCAGGACGGCTCTGGTGGGAAAGAACTCCAACTGAGAATCCTCTCCAAAAGGAAAATAAAAACAAGCCATGGGCTGGGCGCGGTGGCTCATGCCTGTAATCCCAGCATTTACTCCCCGTAATCCTGGGAGGCTGAGATAGGTGAACTGCATGAGCTCACAAGTTCAAGACCAGCCTGAGCAAAAATGAGACCCTGTCTCTAAAAACAGTTGGGAGTTGTGGCGGGCGCCTGTAGTCGCAGCTACTTGGGAGGCTGAAGCAAAAGGATCACTGGAACCCAAGAGTTTGAGGTTGCTGTGAGCTAAGATGCCATGGCACTCTACCAAGGGTGACCAAGTGAGACTCTGTCTCAAAAAAAAAAAAAAAAAAGCCACTTGGTGCCTTTAAATTAGTCTCTTTAAATCCCTCAAAAAGAAACATAAAGTTTGGAGTTGGAGATTGCTGTAAGCTGTGATGCCACCACACTCTACTGAGGACAATAAAGTGAGACACTGTCTCAAAAAAAAAAAAAAGAAATATGAAACTTTGTTGTCTGTGGTCAAACTCTCAATATAACTGAATGTACCAAAATTACAATCCAAGTACCTAACTACACAGCAGCCTCTAAACTTCCTAAATTGTCCTGTTCAGCTTCCTAAATGCTCTCTCTGCTCATTAGCAGCTCCTCTTTAAAGGAAAATGAGCTTTTGGCTGGAGGGAGAAGGTTAGCAATTCTGAGCCACTTCCCCCAAACAAGCTAACACAACCCCCCAGTTTTAAATACCTTCCACATGCCGGCAGCTCCCAACTTTTCTTCGCATATCTTGACTCATATACACATCACAGAGAACCTGAAACTGACTTGATTCTACCCTATCTAACCTGCTCCTCCTCTGTCTCCATTTAAGCAAATAACACCATGTTCCCAGAAACCTGGAAGACACTCAGAACTCTTCCCTTTCCTGTACATCTCTGCAAAGACCAAGTCCAGTCCATTTATTCTCCAAAACAGAATTTGAATCTGCCATCCCCCCAGCCTTAACACATCTCACTCACAAAGGCAAGGAGCCCCAAGGGTCCTGCCAGCTTCTGCTCCTGCAACTGCTCCCCATCAATGGGACCTAGACCAAACCTTTTGAATAATGTACCTATGGTCATGCCACTCCTCCTCAAAAAGCTCCAAGGAGTAGGGCTAGGGTGCCAGCCAGCCCCATATGCCAGAGGTGGAGGGGTTAAACCCAGCCCCAGCCAAAAACTGCAAAAAAAAAAAAAAAAAAGCTCCAAGGGCTTCCTGCTGTACTTATAATCCCTAACCATGGCCTAGAAGGCCCTGCATTTTGTCTAGAGACAGTTCTGCCCCTCTGGCCCTTTTCAGCTTCATAAATACCTCACCTTTTCAGAGCCGTTTTAGATTCCACAAATCTAGCTCCTTGTTTGTTGTTGAAAACCCAGTCTCTGGAATGTGGTTTGTGTACAACATATACTTGCTGAATGAAAGATGAGCATATCCTTGTAGCTGAGTCCCCAAGTACATTCCCATGCTCAACTATAAATTCACAGAAATTAACTCACAGAAGTGAAATTATTTGTTTGCTCAAAGTGTCAGTTAAACTGGCTGGGTGCCCGAAGAACATAGTGGTTATGGCGCCAGCCACATACACTGAGGGTGGTGGGTTCAAACCCAGCCCAAGCCACCTAAACAACAACAACTGCAATATTTTTTGAGACAGAGTCTCATTCTGTCACCCTCGGTAGAGTGCTGTGGCATCACAGCTCACAGCAACCTCCAAGTCTTGGGCTTAAGCGATTCTCTTACCTCAGCCTCCCAAGTAGCTGGGACTACACTCACCCACCACAACGCCCGACTATTTTTTGTTGTTTTTGTTGTTGCAGTTGTCATTGTTGTTTAGCTGGCCTGGGCTGGGTTTGAACCCACCAGCCCCAGTGTATGTGCCTGGCACCATAACCGATGTGCTACGGGCACCAAGCCTATGGGGTGGTTTTTCCTTCAGCAACCCTCCCAATCCCCATGTTCCACACCCCCCACCAGCCCCAACAAATTATAAGCTAAGTGGCCTGCTGTGCCAAAACTATTTTGGACATCAAAATTATAGTGAACTGTTGCAGAATTCCAAGCTATGAACAGATTTTTGATGTTAATCACTCCCAGGCCTCAGCAGCAGCTTGAAGGACGAGCCCATTCTTCACCACTCACCATCTGTCCTTTAATCATGTCCAGGATTACAGGGAGGTAGGAGTCAACTATTTCCTTGCACGAGGCAGACATGTTCGGCTTAGGAAGCCAGTCACAGGTCTTCTCCAAGTACATAAGGATCTCCTGCTATGAGAGGACAGGTGGCAAGGGTCAAAATCAGGACTGCCTTCCTCCCTGCCAACAGGCAGTCCTTCTATGACTCCCAAAAAAGGCAAGTCTGGAGGGCGACACCTGTGGCTCAGAGAGTAGGGCACCAGCCCCATATACCGAAGGTGGCGGGTTCAAACCTGGCCCGGCCAAACTGCAACAACAAAAAAATAGCCAAGCATTGTAGTGGGCGCCTATAGTCCCACCTACTTGGGAAGCTGAGGCAAGAGAATCACCTAAGCCCAAGAGCTAGAGGTTGCTGTGAGCTGTGATGCCACAGCACCCTACTGAGGGCGACAAAGACTCTGTCTCTTAAAAAAAAAAAAAGGCAAGTCTGGAAATAGCCAGGCTTCAGGGAAAAGGACATGGTAGAGGGCTAGCAGTTGCCCATAGCTCAATCAGATCAATCAAGCAAAAACTGACAAGAAAATACAAAACAAAGATCCTTACAGTTTTATCAAGAAAAAAAAAAAAAGGCTGACTTTGATCTGATCTGCAGTCCTACAGGCACAAGGGATTCTGAAAAGAGATAGCCAAAGTGGACCTCGATGTTAGTGGCATGCACTGTAACATCCCCATCAACTTTGGGCATTTAACACTTAGTCCAGCAGTCAGCAGAAAAGGTCCTTCAGTCTATTTTTGTACAGTCCAGAACTAAGAATGATCTTTACATTTTCAATGCTTATTTAAAAAGGAACTGTGGCAGAGACAGTGTATGGGTCAAAAGGCCTAAAATATTTTCTCCTTGGCCCTTTACTGAAGACATTTGTTGCCTCCGGGCCTATGCCACTCCGCTTTAGACCCCCAGAGCTCCAGGAACTAGTGTTCATCCCCATGGCTCATACACGGTCTCTATTCATAGGGACTCACCTCGGTGGCATTGTCCTTCAGCATGTTGCCAGCTGCTGTGATAACATCTTTGCATATATCGCATGGAAGTGATTTCTAAGAGGAAAGAACATGAGGAGAGAGAACTGTATTTGTAAGATATAATTCACACCTCACATAACTGAAAACCCCTGGGGCCTATATCCTGTTCTATCTAACCACAGATACGATCAAGACCGAGTCCTGGCTCCCCACCCTACATTAGAAGCACTGGGACACCACAGGGAAGGAACAAGTGGGATTTATTAGAATACTATGCTCTAATAGAAACCTTGTCTTGTGCGCTCCTCCCCTTAGCACCTTCTTCAATGTACAAGGCATAGATCAATTTTTTTTTTTTTTGAGACAGAGTACAAGCTATCACCCTGGGTAGAGTGCCATGGCAACAGAGCTCACAGCAACCTCCAACTCCTGGGCTCAAGCAATTCTCCTGCCTCCACCTCCCAAGTAGCTGGGACTACAGGTGCCTGCCACAATGCCTAGCTATTGTTTGATTGCAGGCGACATTGTTTTTTGGCGGGCCTGGGCTAGATTCAAACCCACCAGCTCAGGTGTATGTGGCTGGCACCTTAGCTGCTTAAGCTACAGGCGCCGAGCCAGCATAAATCAATTTCATATTAATGCTTGCAACAACTCAGAGGAAACTGAGGCTCAGGTGAAATCACAGACTCACATCAATACCACATGTAAGAGGTGGGTGGGGCAGGGAAATACATCCTACACGTTTGCACCAGAACTGACTTTACCTGTGTTCTCTCCGCCTCCTGCCTCTCAGGCAAGTTAAGAATTTACATCAGGTGGGTACAGTGGCTCACGCCAAGGTGGGTGGATTGCCTGAGCAAGACCTCCTCTCTAAAAACAGCCAGGTATTGTGGTGGGCACATGTAGTCCCAGTTACTTGGGAGGCTGAGGCAAGACAAGTGGTTAGGCCCAGGAGTTTGAGGTTGCTGTGAGCTATGAGGCCACGACACTACCAAGGGCAATGAAGTGAGACTCTGGCTCAAAAAAAAAAAAAAAAAAAAAAAAGAATTTATGCCTATCTCCTGATAAGCCTGGGCATCACTGGCCTGGCCTACCTAATCCAGAAGCTAAGAACACTTTAGTGGAAGAATGCACAGGCTCAGCACCTGTGGCTCAAGTGGCTAAGGCACCAGCCACATACACCTAAGGTGGCGGGTTCGAATCCAGCCTGGGCCCACCAAACAACGATGGCTGCAACCCCAAAACAGCCAGGCATTGTGGCAGGTGCCTGTGGTCCCAGCTACTTGGGAGGCGGAGGCAGGAGACTCGCTTGAGCCCAGGAGGTGGAGGTTGCTATGAGCTGTGATGCCACACACTCTACCCAGGGG